TAGCGCTAGAAGTATAATAGAATATAAAACTTTCCTCTTTTCAAGTAAAATCATTTTTACGCAGTCGGGTTTTTTTTTACTGTATCTATGTATGGTTTAAACTTTCGACTTGTTACTTATTATAAGCCAGTCCTTGACAACAATCCCACTTAGTAGCGAACTGTGATGTGAACCCAGTTAGAAAATAGTACTGTCTTAGCGTAACAAAAGCCTATTCACTCGTGCCTTGAAGGTACTCACATTGTAATCGGACGCTAAAACAAATGTCGGCATATTATTCCAGTCCTCTGCTGTACGCATCACAAAAGAAGAAGCAAACGGTTTGTTTCGAATGAGTCCAATATCAACGGCATAATTTAAAATTAAAATTTTGCACAACCGACTTCAATATAAAATATTAAGAATGACTCAAAAACTATTAGTCACACCTAGATCAAATTTATATGGGACCACATGAGAAGCACCAGCTTTCAAATAAAAAAAGAATCATCGAAATCGGTTCACCCAGAAAAAAGTTAATAACCATAAAAAAGAACATATCGTCGAATTGAGTACCTTCTCCTTTTTGAAGTAGGTAGAAAATGGAGAGAATAGAGATCCGCTGATGTCTTGTTGACATAGATGAAAGAGGAGGGTGGAACTAAATCATGTAATTCCTTATGTATTTAAAACGTCTCCACGATATGGGATAAAATCCTAGTAAGAATGCTAGGTGGTAGGACTTTTTGGTCTAGGAGACAGTCTGTAATTCCTTATGTATTTAAAACGTCTCCACGATATAGGATAAAATCCTAGTAAGAATGCTAGGTGGTAGGACTCCTTGGCGTAGGAGACAGTCTGGGTACACTGCTGGGTCTCGGTCTGCAGGTAATAAAGAGCCAGTATAATTAGAAGCTGAGGCATTTTATCTTACACCTCGGAGACAACGCATCTGGAGCCTTCTTTCGTTGAAGTTGTGTCCAGGTGTCTATGAACTGCAATAGCCACTTACCATCAGGTTGACGGTAAGTTCGTTTGTCACTTCAGTTTGTTTATTTAAAAAAAATCGGAAGTCAGAGATTAGCAATCTACTACAAAAACGTTGACGAAAATGTTAAGTCATTACTGCAAAATGGCGGCGCTGCAATTAGGAAACCGTGTCATTAAAGTAATGGCGGGAGATTACAGTTTAAACAGTACGTTGAGAAATGCGTCCAGTTCAACATGTTAAAGCTAAATGTAATTAGGTTAAACGACTTACTACACTTTTTAGCCCAAAATCACGTTACTAGTCGATTTCAGAATACCATGGGGGAAGGTGGCGTTAGCTTAAGAGAATCGTGAGAACATTACGTGATAAAGTTGGTTACACGTTGGTCTAGTGATTGTAAGCGTGACTGCTGATGCTGTCCTGGGCTCAAATCCCGGATCGAGCCAAGAGTGAGTTGCTAACTTACCCATTTCTTAAGCGGTATTAAACGTCGTAAGAGGAAACCATATTATAGCAGAAATTTTTAATAAGGAAATTCCTATATTTTGATGTTACGAATTCCCCAATTCAACAATTTTTGCACAGAGCAAGACAGTAAACTGGGGAGTCTAATTTGGTCCAGACATGTGATGACACCTATATAGCAATATTTGTGGTATTTTGTTGAAGTGAGTGGTAGAGTCGGCAAGGGACGCCAATGATGGAAGTTTTTCGACCAAATTAGAGATATATAAGATGAACTAAATAAATAGTATCTGCATATAGAGAGTAAATATATTATATGGATGTGAAAGAAGCGAGAGGTGTGTTAGGATAGTGCCATATGGAAGTCCGTAGTTTCTGCCTACCCCTGTGAGTGACTGGCGTAAGCGTTTATGTTTGTATTATAGAACAAGTGGGATACGGGAAGTAAAGACTGTGTAAAATATCCTCCGACGGAGGCGGAGTTATAGCCGAAATAAGAATTTTAAATTTTTTTTGGCCATTTTGATTTTTTACTCCTAGGAGTGTAATGAGAACTTTTTGCCCCTATTCAACCATGACCCCCATGACATTCTCTACATGACAGGCTATTCAAACTGACTATGCCTAAAGTTCCAGGCAACCCCCTAACTCATTTCTAGTCTTCACTTCTAAAATATATGTCTGGTTATATTCCTCATCATCACCACTACACGGTTATAACATATGATTATAGCCATGTAGGGACGGTGTAAGAATATCCATTACCCCATATCGTCCCGAGGGTGTCATAAGACGCGACAGAGGGAAAATTAAACGGCTGCATCTTCCTGACAACAATTTTAGTAGTGTAGTTGTACCACTCCTGGACCACCTGAGTCAGAAACGGTTCAACGACGTTCGTCGACACACGATCCTAAAAAAAAAAAAAAAAAAGGTTTTGGCATGCTCTGATCACGAATCTGCGGTCCATTTTTGTGTAGGATGCACGGTTCCGGAGATGTGCAGATCAATTAGCTAATATCTAATTGATATCCGGTAAGGGCCTCCACCGTCATTAGCGTCCCATTGTTCCTATTTCTATTGTTCTATTGTTCATTAATCACCTTCATTGCAGCGTGTGCGTCGACTATATCAGTGCTATTGTATTATACTTCTTTGTTCCTAATTATACAACGCTAATCTGAATCATCAATAAAACACATTACATAATTTTGTTACAATTTTTATTTATAAAATACAAAATCTTATTACTTATTATCTATAAAATAGGAGCGAAACATCTCATCCACTAAAATATCGTTGTACAATGTGTTCCTTGTAAATATACTCGTAAAACTATGTATTGAACATCCCTGAAACTTATATAGCAAATACATTAAGCAACATTCGCCACAAACCGAAGTCCACTCATTCTGAATCTTATCAACATTCCAGTTCCATCTTTTACAATTCCTTTTTAAAAACTCTAGATGATATCGTACAGGTGATCGTCCATATGAATCAAAATATTGACCGACGTCATTCGTATCGATATATAAAGCTACCCAATGTGACCCTGGTTTATCATCTGTATCCAAATTGCGTATTATATACGTTGGTACGTGGGTATACATAGGCAGTCTATTAGCTGCATAAACATTATTTTCTAGACTGGGGTGAATCTTTTTCAGATGTTGTTGTACATCTAGTGTATCCATGATATTACTGCTATTAGTAGATTATTACAGTACCAATCTACTCAATGAATAACATAGGAATGGTCAATTATAGTGATTTCTAAATATTAAATTGCATTTTTGTGTTATACAAATCGTACTTGAGTCATTGATCACCAAACAAAACACAATACGAAGAAATGTTGAGATAGGCAACGGAAATGTGAGATAAACTGGTTGACGCATAAAGTAATTATCAACTCATTACGGAAATACTTTAGATTAGAATTTTTACGTACTGGTGGTATATAAGACCAACAGACGCAGTCATCGAGTTAGTGTATGGTCGTTTGACTGCAGTGAATCTATCAATAGTACATTTGTGTTACTTCAATGCACCAAAGGCTATGGATGTAAGTGTTTATTCTATTGACTAAATTACTTTTTTTCTGTTATTTTCATGCGTGTGTATTATTTTATTTAAATATTGTGTATGTATATGATTAAACCGTGGTAACTCAGATGGTTAGCGCTAGCTGTAAATTTCACAGTACGCGACCCGGGTTCGATCCCCGCCAGCACCAATTAAATTGTTAATCGCAATTTTAAGTGCTTATTACCACGTGCTTGGTGGTGAAGGAAAACATCGTGAGGAAACCTGCATGTCTGAGAAAATTTCGAAGGCATGTGAAGTTCGCCAACACACATTGAGGCAGCGCGGCGGACATTTCCTTGCCCTAAAACCCTCTCAGAAATGAGAGGAGGCCTATGTTCAGCAGTGGACTTTAATAGGCTGTAACTTTAACTTTTTTAACTTTTATGATTAAGTGTTAACAAATTGATATTAACATGATAACTGTGTTGTTGCAGAAATCATTGAGCTTCGATGAAAATACCTATAAACAGTATTACTACTCGCCACTCTCCCCTCAAGAAGAGAGTGATGACCTCGTCATTAATAATAACACATGCGATGGTGGAAAAAGAAAATCGCAATCGATTGATCATTTTTTTGAAGCTGAATCAAAAATAAAAAAGAGGAAGCTGTTATCATCAACCGTAGCACGAGCCGCTAGAGATGGTGTATCATACATTTCTACTAATTCTGACGACGGAGACCAAGCGACGCATCTCATCAAAATTGAAATGTACGATATGAAGAAGCTATCCAAGATTCCAACTACTGATCATTGGAAACATGCTTCCACGAGAATTAAATATTACGTAAAGACTAATAAGGATAGCATCTACGACAACACAAACGCCCTCGTATACAATATAACAAAGACAATAGCAGAAAGTGAAAAAGTTAAAAAATACTTTTTTAACAATGACAGTCATTAGCTGATCATTAGTGAATATGATTCTGTTTACTTCAATTACAGGAAGACAAGAGCGGAAGGAAGAGATGAGTGTGGCATACATGTACAAAACACATCATTGAATAACAAAACTACAACACTGAGTGGAGAAGAAAACGAGAAGAGTATGCAGTACTCAAGAGCTGAATATCCATTCTTCAGTTCAAAATCTAGCCGTTTGCTTAGTTTCGAAAACTGGCCTCTCGTTATGCGACAGAAACCTGAAGATCTTGCAGAAGCTGGTTTCTTTTATACTGGTCATGCAGACGGGACCAAGTGTTTCCATTGTGGTGGTGGTTTAAAAGATTGGGAAGATGATGATGATCCTTGGCAGCAGCATGTTCAGTGGTTTAGTCAGTGTGCTTATGTAAAATTTCAACTCGAACAATGTTTTGTATTAGATTAAATAGAAGATTTATAAAGAAATAAAAAAAAATATATTGCATACAATTTGTTTTATTTAATTTTATAACGTTTCACATAGTTACATACACACAAAATGCATTACACATAACACATAAAATCTAACACACAACACATATTATAACCTTAACTACTATAGTCTACAGTAACATTTCTGTTTTTATCTATCTCAATAATATTATCAAACTCAGCATAAACTATACAGTTAATTGTTTGTATTAATGAGGATTCAAATCGTACTTCTATTCTTACACTACCATGCTTTATGAGATTCCAATGAGTTGATGAGTTAGCTGATAAATCAGGAGTTAAGTCAAATGCTAATAGACAGTAACCTTTGCCATACTGTTCACAAGAGATTCCATTTCCTTCATTAAGAAAGTGAATACCAGTTCCCGAGAATAGAGTATGATATGCTGATGTAAATATGCTATTATTAAAAGATGATTGCAAAGCTTTTGAAGGTATTTGTTGACCATCAATATATAAGCTGAAAGAATTAATACCATAGTTTTCAAAGTTAAATGGATTTTTAGTAAGGGAACCATTAAATGCAGAATTGTTCACAAATCCAATTATACATCTTTTCGGTACCTGTCCTAAAAATATATTATCAAGAGTTTTTCCTTGAACACCCGAAGGAATTGTTAAAACTTTTACTTCAGCTCGAGTAATAGGATATTTAGCAGTGGTAGAAGCTAAAACTTTTTGATGTGCGAGTAATACACTTGGATTAATTCGTGCTCGTCGAACAATAAGAGTTGCGTCCGTAATGCAAACTTTAAACTTTACATCGTTCGACCCAACAATTAAATTAAAACTCTCTCTTGATCGAACCAATTTAACACTCATTTCAACACCATTAATTAAAAATTTATCTTGGTTAAAAATGTCACCGTGAAGATGACCAATCATTTCTATTTCCTTACTTTCACTAATCAATTCCTGTCTTTTAACAAATCCTATGTTTTTACCATCTGTAGAATCCATTTTTCCTGCTGTATCCTCATACCAAAGACTACAAGTAAGATGAGATTGTTTAGCAGCAGGGGCATAGTTTAAAAGGGTTTCCATGTATGCTCGATATGCATAGGTATTATTAGGTGGTGATACAAGTTTTTGGTTTAAATAAACATCAAGTTGACTAAAAAGTGAATGCAGCCAATTATTTACAGGTGCTACTATTGTAGTAGATACCAAGTTAGTTGAATCTTGATTTAATACTTTTGCCTTTATGTGGAGTAATGTATGAGACAAATCTATGTAGTCATCGCCGGTCCCAGGAACTTGAAACTCGATAGGTCCATCATCACCAAGAGATGAAATTGGTTTATAATGAATCCACAATCCATTTTCAATGCTAGTTTGTGTAGACGGTAGTGCAAACAAATCCAATTCTGACTTAACGCACTCGCAAGAATGATTATGAAGGAAAGACATATTTAGTTTGAAAATATATCTTTGATATTTTTTGGTTTTAGACTAAGTTTTTTCGCAGCTTTCACTTTAGCAGTTAATGGTGGAATGAACGATGTCAATCGTTTTCTTTTAGTTTTATACCCAGATCCAGTCATGTTAAATTGATCAATTTTCTCATCAGCCTTTCGTTTTAAATTCGTACTAACTTGCTTTAGACGATCTTTTATTGAGGCTTCCATAGGACGGGCTTGAACCATATCCGATAAAAGTCCTACTCCAGCGCTTAATGCCTCCTTACCAATCACTCGAGCACCACTTGAAAGTAAAGGTAAAACTGATCTGAATAACCCCCCTAAGAAGCTCCCAATACCATGACCGCGTTGATATGGTGAACCCTTATAAATTACTCCAACTCCTGATCCAGCTTGATGTGTATAATAATTTTCATATGGACATTTATGATGATCACGAAGAGAATTCATTATTATAATTTTCGGAAATGTAGTTTAATACACACGGTTCCAAACTGGAATGGTATTTTTTGTCCTGTACTCGATCTTATAACTATTTCCAACGTATCGAACTCTCTTCGCATAACAGGTAAGTAGTGAGGTTGAGAGAAAACGTGCATTTTATTTGCACCATAAATGTATTTTGTAGGATCTAATGAAATGACTCTTAATAAAGGAGTCATAACATCACCCACAATCTGAGGATCGATAATGTCGCAATATAGAAATAGTTGAGATGGTAACCCTAAGTGTAAATTAGCAGGACACTTTCCAAAATTTCTCTCTAGGAGATTTTTATTTGGTTCATAACCTAGCTGTAAACTTAATTTGGGTGATAATGTTACGGATGTTATATTTTTATCCAATACCGAAATAGACACAAATTTTGTTATTTCATCATAGCGAAATTTCAAGTTCTCTCCGATACCATTTAACACTCTTAAAATATGCTCAACGTTATCATAGTTGGTAGCTGGAATATGTTTTTTGTAGTACACTGTGGATGGCTTATCTTCATTAGGCATTAACATAGATTTTGTAATGTATATAACATTTTCATGGTCTTGAACAGTAAACATGGTACATGGATATTGAAACTCGACAACTCCAACCGACCATTCACCTTCTAATTTTATAGCTTTTGGTAATTTCGTTGAAAAATTTGTGGTCTTGTTATCAGGAAAGTATTCCATTGAACTATTGCTGAGCAAAGTTAAATAGAAACTTTCTTTATTCATATTTCTTTTAAACTAGAAGCTAAAATCCAACTGTTAAATTTATCTGGATAACCTTTCCACTTCACTAATACTTCTTTTCTGTTACCTGAATAACGAGTGTCAATTATTTTATCTATTTTATGTTGTGAGGTGGGGTTGTAAGTGATTTTCTGTAATTCTCTTTCATAAAAAGTACCAATTATTGGTTCATTTTGTAAATCTGTTATTGTATAAACAACCCATGGAGATCTATCAATTATTGAAGATATAATAAATATTTCATCACTCCAATTTGATTCATATCCTTTTTGGAATACATGTTTATATTTAGTTATTCGAACATAATCACCCACATTGAAATTTGGTTTAGGATTTTCTAAAGAAAGTTTTTTTGACCGTCTATCATAAAGATTAGTCCAAACTGTCATAATATTGTTGGAATTTACATCACATGGGCACATCTTAATACTAGAGTGAAAGCTGTGATTATAAGAGTATATTAAATCTTGTAAAACATCTATATATCTATAAGTATTATTATGAGTGAAATAACGCCACATTTTCATTTTTAGTGTTCTTTGAAATCGTTCAACAATACTGGCCTTAATGTCAGGATTGTTAGTGGTATAGTAATTAATCTTTTTGGATTTAAAGTATTTTTGTACATCTTTTGAAACAAATTCTGTACCTTTATCGGATTGTATGTGAGTAGGTGTTAAATTACTTTCAGTAAATATACTTTCAAAACATTCTTTAGTTGTTTCTGAGTTTTTCTTTTTCATTGGTCTTGCAAAAGCATATTTACTAAATACATCAATAATACAAAGTATATACTTGAAACCATCATTATATTGAGAATAAGTTCGCATATCACTTAAATCAGCTTGCCACAGTTCATTAATATTTGATAGAATGTACCTATTACGCGGGAATTTTTTTCGAATGGGTTTATGTAATGTGTATGTTTCTTGTGATTTTAACCATTCCTTTACTTGCTTTTTATTCATTTTACCCTTCATGGCTTTTGATAATTTATCAATACTACCAAAACCAGCGGGATTAGATGGATCATAATAAATCCTGTTAATTTCTTCTAGTACGGGGTCCATTTTTCCCACTCAAGTCCTTTACGTATTTTAGTTGTAGACTTTTTATCTCTACTGCCCGGTGTAGAAAACTCTTGAACTTCAATCTCAGAGGGTTTGTTCAGATCTTTTGCTTGAAGTTGGTTAATAAACTCACATCTCCTTGGATTTCCAATATAAGTAAGTGGTACTTTAATATCTTTTAATGCTTCAGCAAATCTAACCCACCCTACCGGATCACTTCTTTTTAGGGGTCTTAGTGAATCATTTATTAAATCAACAATATTACTTCCAGGAATTTTTTCACTATCAATTATGACTGTACCTTCATTATCCCAATGTATTTTACTTTTACTTGTTTCAACTAAGTTTAATAATAACTGCCCTTTTTTATGATAAGTTTTTGGTATTAAACTGAGTATTTGAGCTGGTGTGTAAAGTGGATTTTCATCATTTTCTTTACTTTTAATGGATCGATTCTCCTCCAGCAAAGATTCAATATCAACTGAAGTTTTTAGATCTCTATCTTTATTTTTAAAACCAATTTTTGACTCATTTGAATCTTCATTAGATGTATCAGAATAAATTGGTAATTTGAGTGGTTGACGATCCTCTTCGGTAAAATGAAGGTATCTTTGCAGTGTTTGTAAATATAATATCCATTTCTTTCGGTCTTCCGTCTTACTATTTATAATATTTTGCATTTCAATATCTAATCGAGATAAATTACTATTAACCTTATTTTCTTGTTTTAATTTTTCAATCAATCCAGGTTCGATAAGTATCATTTTCTTTGCATTTTCCATGTTAACTGGCTAGTCCACTCACTAATCCACTCAATATTGCACCTAATATTGTTGGTAAGAAAGCCCCTCCTTTTTGTATAATTATATTTTTTCTTAGTTTATGTTTACACTTACGTACTAGTTTACGGAGTATGTTTTTATGTTTATTCAATTTTTGTTTATCCTGATCTTTAAGAGGTACTTTTCCTTGTAAAACGTTATGAATACACTCACAAATACAGTTAATTTCTTCTTCATCACACGTTTTAAGTAATGCTCTTTGATATTTTGGTTTAAGCGTATGCAAAGCGGTTAGCAAATGTTTATACGTTGTGAGTCGACGATGCATCATTTAGCAATGATTTCAATTGTTTGATTCTTGGTGTATTTAAACTCTTTTGTGGGGACGTAGACTGTAAGGAAACCATTAAATGGAAAGACATTTGTCTTGATACGACAAAAATCATTGGTATTCTGTTTTAAATCTACCATTAAATATCCATGCGCCTCTAGAGTTGCATCCCTGTAGGCATTTTCAATGAATTTTGGGTTATCTGGTGATACTTGTCTTGCTAAATATCTTATTTGAGTTTTATCTCGAGGGTTTTTAAAATATATTATATAACTTGAGTTTAAAGATATGTCTCTTTGTCCTTTACCCTGATGAAATAAATTTTGTGTTAGATAAAATACACTAAGATTCCTGTGATGACTACCTTTTGTAAATATATCCACAATTCTTCCATCGGACTCTCTCATTAGATCATCAATAATAACAAGATGTGGGTTTTCACCATCAAACATATTAAGATTTGGAATTCCTTGATGATAGTTAACATTTGGTAAATTATATAATGGTTGCATTTCATCAAAGCACCATGTGATCTGATTAAAATCACAATTACATATTTCTGTAACTGATTTTATGAAATTTGTTACAAAATTTGACTTCCCACACCCACTTGGTCCTGCCACAATAGCAGTGAACGGATGGATAAAGTGAAACATAACACACGTCTAAAGTTCAAAGGGGTGAAATAAAAAATGAAAGTGTTGGTGTAAACAATTAATATATATTCCAAAAATTATATAAAACAGAATTATCTGTATACTATTTCTAACACAATTAGTACATCATAATTTTACAATTAACTCAACCTCAAATAAATAGAAACAACAATTAGTACATCATAATTTTACAATTAACTCAACCTCAAATAAATAGAAACAACAATTAACTTAAATTATTTACAATAAAACAATGATTAAATATGTAATAAACTACGTCATATTATAGTATTATCATAATTTTACAATCAATATAAATTTTTCTTAAACGCAGACATAAAAGTAAAAACTATCAACACTTAACGCAGTTTATAATGACCCCAAGCTAATGTTTCAATATTATTATCTAAAATATGTCTCTTTGTGTCATTATATGATAAACCTATCTTATTTAATTTTTGTGTGAAAATTGTGTGTTTAATTGATTTGAATCTAAGCATACTATAATATTGCACTTTTTTATTAAATAGAGAAGACTTATAACTATTCATTGTCATCTTTTTAGTGATACATTTATTTACCCCTTTTGCCTTGGCTATAGTCTTATTCTCTAAGTTAAAAGCGTACATTTTGGATCGTAAACCCACAAATTCTTTCATGATTTTACCATTATTTTCATCTTTAAAAAAACCTAATTTCTTTTTATTTAATTTTGGATATTCAAAAATATTATTTGTATCATAATCTGAGGTATCAAAGTATGATGAAAGGTCAGGTTTTATATCAGTGTAAAAATCATTTGTAAATATATGATATATTAAACTATCCGTATCTGTATACAATAATTTGATTTTACTAAACTTTTTAATCATATAGTTATAATGAAAATCATACATTAATGTTTTTGAAATATCT